TCTTATTATATTGTCTTATGATAATTACTAGATACCGTGTTTCTAAAATGCCAAACTGATTTGAAAAAGTACCTGATAAGTTCAATGCCATTCCAAAATGAAAGAAAAACTAATTAGTAAAGAACTTAAAGAATAAAAAACAAATGACAAAAAACTAAGTAAGAATTTATTCAAAGAAAGTTTTAAACAGACCATGGCACCAGATGTATTTGGAATATTAGGACCTTTGCTAAGATTTTTGAAGAATTGAGTAAAGAAAATAATTGTTCCATAGGAACATAAATTGTTTAGTTTTATTAGGAAAGACATTACTGGCTGAAAGTTGAAAACAAAGCAATGAAGAAACTGAGACTTACTGAATATAGAATTATGCCACTAGCAGGGACTCAAGTTCCAGGCAGGAAAAAGAAAAGTGAAATTTAGAAAATGACAGATAAAAGGATGGCACTTCAAAGGTTTTTGAAGAATTAGGTCAAAAAATTATAACTAACCTGCCAGCAATAATCTCTGCACCTGTAAATGTATTTTTAAAGAAGTTTATAAAGAAGAGGTGAAAGATGTGATTGACAACAGTGTGGTAAAAATTATGGGCAAACAGAATACCATAGATAGCCAAAAAAAAACAACCAACCCTCCTCAAATAGATCATCAAACAAATCAACCCAAAATTTTCACTAGAGACAGAAAATGATCAGGCTGATGATATCATACTTCAGATACACTATGCAAAGTCCTTTAGCTCTCTAGCGAAGTCTATCATGATGGGAAAGGTGGAAAGAAACAGAAAGGATGACCAACAGTAAGGTAGATCAGTGATCCCCAACCTTTTTTACGCCGCGGCCCGGTACCGGCATCAGCTGGGCGCCGCCATCTTTTTTTGATGAAAAAGTGCTTCCGGTGACCTCACCGGAAGCACGTTTTCATCAAAAAAAGATGGCGGCGCCAGCAAGCCAGCGGCCTGGTAGGACTTGTTCCGCGGACCGGTACCGGTCCGCGGACCGGTGGTTGGGGACCCCTGAGGTAGATGGACTCAATTTCAGTAGCAGTAAGTATTCTATTAGAAGAACTGAAGAACCAGGCTGGCAAAAGAGCCTCCTGGAGAAAATATAGCTACATCATCTAAGAGTCAAGATTGACTTGATGGCACACAATAATAACCATCACTAACCTAATGTTCTTCTGAAAAAACTTATTCAGTTTTATATAGCATGTATTTTTTTAAGTTTTTCTGTCCTTTTTACTTTTTTCTGCTATTATTTTTATAGGATTGTTCTTTAAATATTTAATAAAGGAAAGGAAAAGAAAAAAGTGGGTTCTAAGAAAGGAACAGGGGTTACTAGAAGACAAAATAGACAAGCACTGTTACTATTACTAGACAAGCACTATTACTTTTTTTTTACAAGTGACTAGAAGACCAAGGAACTTCTATATATGCATGTGATATATCTAGATTTCAGTGGAGGTATTTAATAAATTTGACCACAGCCTCTTACTTGATAAAAGAGAACAATGAGGAATGGATCCTGCTAATGGGTAGGTTTGCAGTTGATTGAACAGTCATACCCACTGGCCCTTAATGTACCTAGGTCTGCATAGAGGATAGGAGGGTGGAGGCACATACCTCAGGAAATTGTTCTAGGGCTAGGTCAACTCTCTTCAACATTTTCATAAATGATTTAGATGAGGGAAAAGAAAAAATGCTTAACAAAAATGCAGGTGATCATTGCAAATGCAGAATAGACTTAGCCTGTAATTCCAAAGGCAGCTAGATTTTGCTTTTCCTTGAAGATTCTCATCCACTTCTCATCCAATAAGCTTCTTCAGTTCTGACTGAAAGGTGGAGAATGGAAGGATTTATATTTCTCGCAGTTATCTGGTTGCTAGAACTCATTTCTGAGAGTTGTTGAGGCCACATGGAGGTTTATCTGTGCCCTCAGGGTCTCCCAAATATTCCACTCTCATTTGCACTATTTAGGTAATTCTGAGGACACTAGATTCCAATTTGCTAAATTTTCTGGATAGAAATCTAATTTAAAACAGTCCATTTCTCTGAGGAAACTAAATCAGAAGACAGGGAAGGAAGTTTTAGAAAAGCAGGGGACACAATGTGTCAGAATAGTTGTTTTAAATATTTCATCCAATTTCTTCCAATGGGCCTCCTGTGGTTTTTTTTACTTAACATTACTTTTTTTTTCTTTTAATCCAGTAGGATGTAGGATGCTCAGAACTATTACCGAAATATTATTCTGTTATTTCTGTTACTTTTGTCCTAGAAGTGTACATTCATAGTCAGACTTATCGACATGTACCTCACCATGCAGTTCTGGAATAAGGTTTTAATCATATGGTACTATCCTGCATACTACTGGATAGGGGATGCGGTGGCTCAGTGGCTAAGACGCTGAGCTCGTCGATTAGAAAGGTCAGCAGTTTGGCGGTTCAAATCCCTAGCACTGCAAACGAAGTGAGCTCCCATTAATTGTCCCAGCTTCTGCCAACGTAGCAGTTCGAAAGCATGTATAAATGCAAGTAGAAAAATAGGAATCACTTTGGAGGGGAAGCAGAAGTGGGATTCAGCCGGTTCTGACTGGTTCTCATGAACCAGTAGTGGAAATTTTGAGTAGTTCTGAGAACTGACTGGCCCTGCCCCCATCTATTTGCTGCCTGCCTGATCAGCTGGGACTTCTTTTGTTGCCCTGCACAAAGAATGGAACTGGAAAGCAGGTTAATGGGGTAGGCAGGGAATGGGGATTTTGAGGTAACCTTCCCCTGCCACGCCCACCAAGCAACACCCACAGAACCAGTAGTAACATTTTTTAATCCTACCACTGGTGGAAGGTAACAGTGTTCCGTGCACCTTTGTCATTTAGTCATGCCGGCCACATGACCACGGAGACGTCTTCGGACAGCGCTGGCTCTTCGGCTTTGTAATGGAGATAAGCACTGACCCCTAGAGCCAGAAACAACTAACACGTATGTGCGAGGGAAACCTTTACCTTTAGTATCCTGGATATATGGAAGTTATGGTCTATGATTGTGACTAAGCACTCATTAACAAATAGAATGATGCAATCGTGAGGCTTGACACAAATTATTTTTAAATTTTTAAGGTGGGAAATTTTTTCTTTATTCTCCTACCATGTAGCTCTTTGGGCCCTCTGCTGTGGCTCCCTGTCCCATCACTGGCTGGCCCCGCCCCTTACCCTTCCCTCCCAGTCACTCCTTGCCTAAGAAGGGTGACAGCCGACCCAATTGGGTTCCCAAAGAGCAAACACAAAGGCAGCAGCCCCCACCTTTTAAGGTTTAATAACAAATTATGTTCTGAAGGCTGCTTTCCACTAATTAGCTCCAACAAGAAAGAGCCTTGCCAAGTTGTTTGTCAAGGCTGCCAAAAACCCAGAGATAAGAACTAATTTACAAGATTTCTCCAAACACTAAGATGTCCACCAGTTGAGCTTAAGAGCTTCTTTGCTGTCTGCAAAGAACGCTTTTCCAAACCTGGCTTTTATCCTCTTGAGAGGGGCCATTACCTTGCAGACTTACTCCCGAGTTGCCTGTGCTGCTGTAATTGTTCTTTCCTCCGAGTAATCCTTCGTGCACGTGCACTTGGCACAGGCTCCTCGGGAACCTCGTCGTCACTGCTGCCAGCCCCCACAATCTCTGAAGGCAGCAGTCCACTCCGATGGTCCTGGCCCCTCATCAGAGTCATCTCTCTCCTCAGCCATCTGCACCTGCTGCCGGTTAACACAGCGGTGGATGGAGACTTGCTCCATATTCCAGAGAGGGAGCGAAGCATCCCTTGTCTACTTGCCTCATCTCATGGGAACTTCTGGCCCTTGTTGGTGCTGTGTGCCCCTCGGTTGCTCGGGGAGATGTGCGACTTTGTCTCTCCCCCCCGAGACACTGGCTGGCCTGGCTGCGGCTGCTGCTGCTGCTCTTGCCTGCCTGCATGGCCTGCTCGCTGCTCTTGTAGCACCTTGCTCAGCACACTTAAATTTAGCATGCTTCACAGTGGGAGAGACGGCGTCCCCTCCTCATCCTGGAGCCCATTACTACACAGAGCATCGGCTGCAGCCGGGTCGGGTGCATGCAGCACCAACAAGGGCCAGAAGAGGCAACTATGGGAGAGAGACAGAGAGGGAGAAAGAGAAATGAGAAAAAGACAGAGATAGAGATACCTGTTTCCCAGAGAAAAGAAAGTACCGGGAGCCACAAAACCTGGGTAAGCATGGTTGGAGGGGAGGTGGTCATGTGACTGGGTGGGAGCGAGTGATGTCGAGTTGGCCACACCCACCCAGGTTTTATGGCTCCTGGTATTTTCTTTTCTGTGAAAAATGGATCCAAATGGCTCTTTGAGTGTTTAAGGTTGCAGACCCCTGTCCTACCCTTTTCCAGGTGATTGACAAAGGATGATTTCTGATGGAGGATTAAATAATACATTTCATTAATGGAGATCATTATCAGAGAGATTATCATTTGACACAGAAATTGCATTTTGTAATAATGCTGGAGATGTCAGAAAATAGTCTATGCTACTGTCCATGCCATTATTGTTCACTGTAGTATCCTTGGATAAATGTACTGTATATAAATCTCATATGTGGATGACTCTCAATTTTTTAATCAAAATACCATAAAAATGCAATTAGCCGATATGCACTTTTCATAGCATTTTACTTAAGGATTTACTTATACCTGGATGGGTTTATATACTTTATATATATACACACACACACATATGCATATATATGTGCAGGTCTTGGTGTGTTCGGGTCTTTTCCTATGTAAGATTGAGAGTATCTTGCTGACGTTTCAACGTTGGATCTTGTCGAAACGTTGCCAAGATACTCTGAATCTTACACTGGAAAAGACCTGAACACGCCAAGACCTGCACCTGTGAAAATCTACGAATATATATATATATATACCTTCCCAATAAGCAACTGAATCGAAGATCTTTTAAAATTTAAAAGCAGTTTATTAGGGTATCCTCATAAAATGGGAATTTCTCTATGACAAAGGAAGAGAGAACCCCCAGTCCCACCTTTCACTTCTTTTTATAGTTAACACAACAAATACAAAATTTTAAAAGAGAGAAAATAAATCAAATTAAAATTCAAAGTAACTGTTAGCTAACACATTACAAAACCCGTGTCATTTGCCCCTCACATGCATTAATTTCTCAGGCAAAAGCCTGTTTCTCGGACTGCAGTCGCGCTGCAATTGGGGAACCTTAGCAGATTCCAAAAAAATTAGAGCTGCGCAAATTCTCAGGTAAACAAATCTCGTTCAGATTCACCGCTCCTCTGAAGCCTTCCGAATCGTAATGCTCAGTTTAAAGAAGCCATGTTGTGTCGTAAAGCACTTGCGTAAAAATTGCACTGCAACTTTAAGAAACCTAATACAAAGAAAAAAAATAAGACAGCTGAATCAAGGTCAACTTCGTGTCACGACTCCGCTGTTTCTATGACGAAATATCTTCACCGCCACCCAGCAAACCTCCAAGAACATTCGGAAAATTCCAAAGATGGAGGCGCCCACGGCAAGGAATAAACTTCAAAATGGCGGCCACCATGCACCAGCATACAAGATGGCCCCGCCCACAGGAGGGGGAGAGTTAATTCCAAGATGGCGCCCTCTATAGTTCCGGTCACTCGGTAAGCGCGTTGTAACATGGCGGTCCGCGGAAGCCGGCTGCTGCTGGGTGGCGTCCGATTGTATAACGCCAAGCCGCTTAAGTTACAACTGAAGGGAATTTATCGGCCGGACCCTGCCAATCCCCTCACTCCGGCCTGGCACCTGACCCCCGAATATGAAGCCAAGCTGTTTGGGCGCTACGGGCAAGCCTCCGGAGTGGACCCGACCCGGTTGTGGCCGTCGCCGGAGAAGCTGCAGGAAATGGAAGCTGAGCAGAGAGCCTGGTACCCTTCCTTGAAGGAGATGCAGCAGTCGCTGGATGCCAAAGACAGCGAGGCCGAAGCCCTGCAGCGACAGAAGTGAGGAAGGCAGGAGGAGGGAGGCTGCGGGTGGGCGCCACGCGTGGAAGCCTCTCCTTGGGCTGGACGAGGAGAGGGCGGAACCGGGGAAAGTCGCGAGCGCCCTTCGGGCGTGGGAGGCCACCGCGAGGCAATTTCAGCCTTCGGGTTTTGCTGGGACGGCGCTGAGCCAACAAACCACACACTTTGGGAACGGCCCTTGAGTGGACCTTAGGCTTCTGACTTGAGGCCTAATTGCACATTTTCCGAAGCCTCATCAGAGAGGTTGTTGCAGAATAATGGGACTAAACAGAGGAAGGCCGCCTGCAGCAACACGAAATAAAAATTATATACTTCTGGTGTGTGAATAAGTATTTGTGAGTTGCACAGGGTGGATTAGCAGATCTCCCAGAGCTGAGCATCCATAAACATTTGTTCAGTGTCCATGTTTTGGGCAATTATTTCTGCACCAAGAGAAATCCTTTTGTTTGTTTGTTTTCATTTTGCATGTTTAAATGTAGTTTGCTTTGTAGGTGTTTTTGCTCTGGGTAATTTCAACGGTATTGAAGGATGCTGGTAGATGCTGGCCTCAGACATTCTTTGGTGTGCCATGAGCGTACATTTGAAGCAAAACATCTGATAAAATTTAGAGCAAACAATCTGTGCATTAATAAAAGCTAAGCAAAACTCAGATTGCCATGCTATGGTTTAATTTTGCTACTCTTGCCTAGTAGATCAGTTCCAGAGCAAGATGCTGGAGGATTGCTTTGCTCAGGCATCTCCTTTTCAGGTGCTGTCCGAATTTTATTCTTTCTTCCCTCATGAAGTAATGGAAGTGCCAAATGAATCACGGCATACTATAGTAATCTAGACAAAATGAAAGTACTATTGATAGATGACTTTTTTTCGTAGAGCAGTGTTTCTCAACCTTGACAAACTTAAAAAGTGTAACATTTAAATCCCAGCTGGCTAGGCACTTTTGGGAATTGAAATTCACACATCTTAAAATTGAAAAATACTGCTGTAGAGAAATATGATGTTCTGTATGAGATTGCAGGCTCTTTTCAGGAGCACATTTGCAATTTGAGTAACATGCTCATGTTAGATGGCAGGTAAGACGGCATTTTTGTGAAGTTTCCACTGATTTGAGCTTCCATTGTAACTTTGAGATTTTTCTACATTACTTTGAGGACTCACGGCATAAAATGCAATTTGTAAATTGCTGATTTAACAAGTTAAATTGAGCACCTCTCAATATTTTAGATCAGTGTCATGGTATCTCTATGAACACTATCCAAAATGAATATTTTAAATTGTAAAGCTATTGTAGACTTTGGTATTAGAATAACTATTTAGTATGAACCTATTCACCCATTAAAGTGAAAATGCTGAAAATAAACTGAAAACATAGTTTCTGTGTCTAGAGCTGTATAATGTTTTGTTTCATAGTTTTGTCTTTTGCTTTCTAGAGATGAGATAATTGCTGCCAAAATGGCTAAAATGCCCCAGATGATAGAAGACTGGCAGAGGGAAAAACGGCAACGCAAGCTCAAAGAACAGCAAGAAAAAGAACGAAGGCGGTTGTTACTGGCTGAGGCCCGGGAGCAATATGGCTATCACCTGGATCATCACAGTCCTGAATTTCAAGAGATGGTGGTAGAGAGGGAGAAGATTAAACGGATGGAGCAGAAGGAGGAGAAAAAACGTATGAGGGGGATTCAGGCCAAAAAAGCAATGGAAAGCAAAATTCTTGCCTCATCTCCAGATAGCAAGGAGGAGATGGCTGAACAAAAGGATACCTAAAATACTATATTGTAAGTCTTTTAAATAAATCTGCCTACAGATTGTGACAGGCAATTCTCAGAGGCCCAATTGATTTACTGCACTTCTCATGCATTAAAGGCCAACTTAGAAGTCTTATGGAATGTGGAATGCTTCACTGTACAGAACAATCTAATGTCCTTTCTCTGCCTGCTGTGACCACTTGGAGCTTCAACAAAGGATTTTTGAATAGCAGATGCATTCTCTGAATTTCTTTTCTCTTTCAAAAGAGCAAGCTCTGTTTCCACCATCTAGCTCAAGGGTCCCCAACTCCCGGGCTGTGGCGCACTCTTGGGCCGTTGCCTATTTGGAACTGGGCTGGGCTGGGCTGCACGAGAGGCAAGTTGGTGCGCGCACACAGCTCCACTTGCGCAAGCAGTGCCCCAAAGGCTTCTCGTGTGTGTAGAGCTGCGCACTGGCCTGCTTACGTGGCCCAGTTCTCTCCCCCCACCAGGCCGCAAACCCCCCTCCCTCCAGGCCACTTGCTCCCAATGCTCCAAAAGTTGAAGGGTGGGAGCAGAAGCTGAGCAGGGACGAACATGCCCTGCTCAATCTGCTTTTCAAGCATCAAGCAGCCTCCATGAGTCTGAAGGAGAATGAGACTGCACTCCCAAAGGCTTCTCTTCTCCGTGCCAAAAGTTTTTGCAAAGGGGAGTGATCTCGTGCTGTTTCAGGCCTTCTGACCCTTTGCAAAAGTTTTTGGCATGGAGAAGCTTGAAGGAAACAGGGCCCCAAAGGCTTCTCTTCTCTCTTGTGTGAGTGGAGCTGCGTGTGTGCAGCCCTCTCCTCCCTCCCCACCAGCCAGGCTGCCAAGCTGCAAAGTTTGGGGACTGCTAATCTATCTAACTGCCCTATTCAGTTTGTTGAATATCTGGAGTTTTAAGTAAGAAATACTTACTTTTAACCAAATGGGGGAATGTTTTTAAAAATACTTGTTAGGTGTCTAAAAACAAGGTGGAGGTTATATAAAGGTAAAGGAGTCCCCCGACTATAGTGGGTGGCGCTCATCTCCATTTCAAGGGCCATTGAGCCATCGCTGTCCAGATGTTTCTGTGGTCAAGTGGCCAGCATTACATCACAGAGCGCTATTACCTTCATACTAAAGTGGTATCTACTTGCTTTTGTATGCTTTTGAACTGCTAGGTTGGCAAGAGCTAGGGCAAGGATGGGAGTCTCGTCGCATAAAGCTCAGGTCTCAAAACTGGGCTGCTGGCTTTCTAACCAATTTCTTAACCTCTGAGCCGTAGCACCACCCTAAGGTTGCGTCCCAGATAATTATTGCCTAGAATTTTGACTGGATGTTGTTTGGTACATTTCTTAATGGTAACATTACTGAATTTAATTTGAAAAAATGTCATCAGTAATGGCTACAAAGGGGGAATGTCCCTGACATTATTCCTTCAGCCTCTTATTAAAGGTAAAAGAATGTAAAGTATTGAATCTATTATAGTTGCATATAGAGATAAAGATACCAGTTGAATGGGCCAAGCAATAAACCTAACATTTTTTCCTATTCCTTGACCGAGTTCACACTTCTCTGTGTGTAGGATTCACACTAAGGATGTACATAAATAGACATGGACTTGTGCTATGAAAGTCTGCTCTGATTTTGGCATATTTGCCCTGCTCCATTCACAATTCTATACCAGTCTTTCAGCACTATACCTTTCAGCATTTTGGCTGAATTCATGTGGCGAATCTGGATTGAATGCCATTATGCTTCCTGCAGCATTTCACACAGCTTGGGATTATTGAGCCCACCAAATAAGATGGATTAGCTGCATCCAAGCAAACAATGATTTTGGCTTGATACCTTCATCTTTTACAGATGTTCATTCCTTACTGACAATAATTATGAAGGGACAATCCACCAAAAAGGGATTTATGCACTGAGCACTTTTTGCACTAAATAGCTGTGCCTGAGCAGAGGAATTTTGAAAACACTGTACACATAACCCATTCAGCCATAACTCCCCTATGCACACTGTAGCTGAAGGAGAGGCTGATGCCTAGTATGGCATTGTGTAAAAAGCAGATGGTAGGCTGCCTTCACTACAAACTGCTTAGCTGAAAAGGTTTTTGGTCCAAGTCCACCCTGGCAGATTCGGGGAAAAAATAGTTATCGGTACCTGTAATTTAATACTCTGGTTCCCTCTAGTGGCAAAACTAGAGCAGAATTTCGTTCAGTCTCTGCACAGTCTTTTATTTTGATAATGCTCCTAATGAATGTATGAAAAGTAGGGAACCAAAAAGAAACTATTCAAGGTAGATTTTGCCATCTAACAATATTTTAAATAAAAGGCTTGTTTTTTCTTTTGTGGTTAATTAGGTCCTCAAAATGGCACATACCTGCAGAATCACTTAATGGTCTCTTGGCAGTCCTTATTTTCTACCGGATTTTGAGAAACTGATGGTGACACTAGTTCAAAAACAAATAACATTTATTCTCCACTACTGTTGCCATGTCCTTTGGAAGAACTATTGATACAATCCATATGAACAATTTGAGTAAGCTTGTTTTGTGTGTTTATAAATAATCCTTTTTCTGTTTTAAAGGTAGTATTAAAAATGGAAGGTAGTGAATACATAGCTTAACTCCTAGCTTTCATTAAGCAGAAGCAAAATTTCTTATGGGAATTATTATTTTACAAATGTTTTTAAGATTAATCAGTACTAGATTCTTCTCATTACTAAGTTATGTAATTCACTTTTCAAATTATAATTCAAAAATATATTTGAGCTATGAATTTTCACATGCTTTCTAATTTTGCTACTGATGGAAACAGTATTTTATGTGCTTCTGTTTTCTTACATGGAGCGTTGACATTTTTAGGCAACAGTTTCTTATTATGTCATGGGAAGTAGTAATTTACAGTAATTTGTAATCAGCTTGCAGTAAATTAGGTCTGAATTCCCTGTTCCTCTTGACAATTGGATTGAGGTGTCTGTGTAAATACTGTATATATAAATGGTGCTGCATCATCCTGAAGATAAGGATTTACTGGGATCTCCAGGGCTTCATCTTTGGCTAGTGCTATTCAACCTACAGGATGGACTGAAAAAGGTAATCAGATTTGCAGATGAAACAAGCTGGAAGGAATGGCTAATACTTTGTAGCAATCTTAGATACTTTAAGATTTCTGGGAGTTGAAGTCCAGACATCTGGACTTCAGCAAGGTTGAGAAACACTGCTTTAGGATGAAAATCACACTTCAAACTGACCTTGACAGATTTTTTTTGAGGGGGGGGGCAATGCCAGCAGAATGATGTTGGGCAATGACCAATACACAGCCTTGTATTGGAGTAGAAAAATTCAAATAGAAAGGTACAGGAATAATGACTTGGGGGGGGGGGGGATAGGTATACAACTGTTGTCATCAACTGAACCTGAGTAAGCAATATGAGAGAGCATTTAAAAGGGCCAATGCAATCTTCAGCTACCTTAATAGAAGCATCCAAATCACAGGACATAATCATTCCATGATTCATTCCACAAGTGGCTAGCTAAGCCACTTATGGTATTGTGTCCTGTTTTGAGGATCCTCTTTGACAAGTTGGTTTAAGGTTAGACAAAAGCTATCAAGATGTTAACAGATCTGGAAACCAACCACTTCCTGCAATGTCTGGGCATGTTTTATTTGCAAAGGAGAAAAATAAGGATACAATAATCAACCAATCCCCCCCAAAAAAGGCTGTTGTACAAGAGTGGGTCAATGTGTTCTCTGATGAAGGTGAGAGCAAGACAAGAGTCAGTAAATTAAAAAGAAAAGCAAAAAAGAAATTGAGGCTGAATATAAGTAATTTCATGATGTCCAGCGCTATTAAACAGTGTTTAGTTCTCCCTTCCTGGAAATTTTAAAATGAGGATTGGATTATCACTTATCAGAGCAGTTTAGTGGATTCCAGGACTAAATCCAGTCCCTGGACTGGATGATCTTTGAATGAATCTTGACTCCTGGCAACTTCATGGAGAGGTCCATGTAGTTTTCTTGGCAACATTTCAGAATTGGTTGATCATTGCTGCCTTCTAGGATATTTTTACTTCCCAGTCTAGAACTGAGAATGATTGACTCAAGATCATCCAGCTAGCGTCTGTGCCTAAAGGGGACTAGAACCTGGGTCTTACTGCCATTTGTCAGCACCCTAAATACTGGGTCACCTTGGCTTTCAAGGTGGCTTATAAGATCCCATGGACTCATACTTCCTATGATGTTTATTATTCCTTTAGGAACATAATAATGAAACATGACAAAGAACCAACGTAAAACAGGATAACAATAAAGGTGTGTTTTAGCAATAAATCTACAACACAACAGAAGTAGAATTTATTTCATTTATATTCAGTCATTGAAGAATATGCCAAACTATATTATCTACATACTTTCAAATATGCTTTTCTGTGCCTGGTTATGTTAGTATGCTCACATTATGTAATATAACATTATCTAGTTGAAGTTTGCTCTTAGATTAGACAATAATTAATATGATCCACATTGGGCAAACAAGTCTTATGTTTAATGTCTGGAGATAATTATGCAAGTCAGGGTTTTCCCAAAGATGCTTTTCTAAAAGACAACTGGATTTTCTTGGATTTTTGGAAAACATTTTGCTTCTTATCCATGAAGCTTCTTCAGTTCTGTAGTTCAGAAAACAAGAAAGGCCAGTTGCTGTTTAGAAAACCACCTTTGGGACAAATCTTATTCTATAATGTTTCAGGAATGCAAGGGTATGAAGTGTATTGATCAGTGGGATTAACCCACATCCTATCTTCAGAATGTCATTTGATTCTATTTTGGCTCATAAATGAACTGTTCACTGTTTCTATTAGTAGATATAAGTCCTACTATAGTAGAAACTGACCATTTAAGTGCCATTTAACATAATAGACTTTACTCACTCCATGAAAATTGTTCTTAGGAGGAGGAATACTAACAACAAAGGTAAGGGAAACCAGAAGAGCAAGGAAAAACAATGAAAGACAGCATGTTCAAATGTCATGACCACACAATAAAAGAAGAGATGCCAAAATGTCCCCTTTTTGCCTTTTCATCATTGTTAATGCTAATTACACCAAATATGATTTTAAAATAAGGAATGCAAACAAGTACAACAAAAACCACATTGGCTTAGCGCTGTATGTCTAATAAGCAAGTCCTGAGTAACAGTATGGCAAGGGTGTATGAGACAACCAACAAAGGTATTGAAAGAGCTTTTAAAAAAGAAAAGAAAACCATATTTCAATAGCCCAGTGAATTGATGGAACAAACCTTAGTAGTTAATACTATAATCAGATTGAAAACTGATAAGATCCATCAGCTTTTTTTGCCAAATTGATAAGCAAAGAAAATACTGGGACAAGTATTGACGTGAACAGAATTCTGGAAGTAGTCATAGGCTTTTGAAAATGTCTAAGTCCAGTTACTATTCATCATTCTGCAATATAAGCTGCTTCTTGATTTAAGGGATTTTTGGCCAGATTGTTTGCCCCACCCCAAATTCTGCAAGCATTTTAAATCACTTTCCAACATTTAGAAATGTTCTTAAATAGAGATTGAGCTGATTAAGTCTTATTACAAAAATTCTCTGTTCTTTTCAAAAAAGAGAAGGCCACAGCAGAGAGTTGAGGTTCTATTATGTTTCCAACCAAAACTGGAAGCCTTTGCTGAATTAATTGCACTATTAAGCTCACTCCCAATGTGACAAGAAGGACCATCTGATGTGCCTTGCTGGTTAAGGAGCTCAGACTGAGAAAGAAAGTGGGGGAGCATGAAATTAAAAAAAAAAATTAGGAGGCTGGAACGTCCATGTTATTTCAACGTTTTATGAAATTGAGCAGGACAGAAAATAGGACAAATGTAGCCCTCATTTTGGGTTGACTGGCAGAATATATCATGGAATATTGAAGATAGGCTGCTCCTGTCAGCTTCATTAATTAGCAAGCAGCATTTTCATAGCTATTCCCTGGTTTTGTAAGCTGAAATCCAGTTAGGTAAGACCCATCCATTCATCATAAAGACATCACACACTAGACCAGAAGCCCAGTGGTACAATTACAATACACTTTCAAATAGGCCCATCCCAGGAGGAAGGCAGCATCCTAAGCCCTCGTATTTTGGCAGTTCCTTCTTTGGTCTAAGCACCCTTAACAGTTTGTGAGGAAACCTGTTGCCTTAGGAAGGACTGGTTCCATCTGCATCACTTTCTTCCTGGCTGGCCTTAAGTTTGGACAATACAGCATGAATCCGGAACAGTGTTCGTGACTCCATTGAATAATTTTTGTAGTTGTTCCTGGTGGGAAAAGCATTCAACAATTGCTATATCTTTTATATCAAACCTGTATGTATTATGTGCACCAAAAGCTATTTCATGAATCCAGGTATTATCTTACAGGATAATATTTGATATTTTGTTGATATCTCCTAAGGTAGATGTCCAAAGGACAGCTAAGCATCCTCCCAAGTCAGATAGGGTGTGCAGACTCCTAGTTCCTACCCCAAATATTGTCGTATGTTGGGATCTAGGAATTGTGCCTTTTCCCTGGCAGCCCCTGCCCTATGGAACACTTGCCTTTTGAAGTTTGGCAGGACTCCACCTTTTTAGCCTTCTGAAAGGCTTTAGATTAACACCGTGGAAGGGACCTTGTAGATCATCTATTCCAGGGGTCTCCAACCTTGACAACTTTAAGCCTGGTGGACTTCAACTCCCAGAATTCCCCAGCCAGCTGGGGAAGTTGCCAAGGTTGGAGATCCCTGATCTAGTCCAACCCCCCATCTAAGCAGGAGACCCTACACCATTTCTGACAAATGGCAGTCCAATCTTTATTGAAAGCTTCCATTGATGAAGCTCCCACAACTTCTGAAGGCAAGCTGTTGTTTCATTGGTTGATTGTTCTCACTGTCAGAAAATTTCTCCTTATTTCTAGGTTGAATCTCTCCTTGATCAGTTTCCATCCATTATTCCTTGTCTGGCCTTTGGTGCCTTGGAAAATAGCTTGACTCCCTCTGGCAGCCACTCAAATATTGGAAAACTTCTACCGTGTCTCCCCTTGTCCTTCTCTTCACTAGACTAGCCATGCCCAGTTCCTGCTACTGTTCTTCATATATTTTAGTCTCCAGTCCGTTAATCATCCTGGTTGCTCTTCTCTGCACTTTTTCTAGAGTCTCAACATCTTTTTTATAGTGTGGTGACTAAAAATGGATGCTGTATTCTAAGTGTAGTCTTATTAAGGCTTTATAGAGTGGTATTAGTACCTCACTTGATCTTAATTGTATTCCTTGCATTGGCTTTTTTGGCTGCCGCCGCACACTGCTAGCTCAGTTCACTGATTGTCCACTAAGACTCCAAGATCCCTCTCACAGTTACTGCTATTAAGCCTGGTTTCACCCAGTCTATATGTGTACTTTTGGTTTTCCTTGCCTAAGTGTAACCTTTTACTTTTCTCTACATTTTGAATTTTATTTTGTTAGATAAGCCCCAGTGTTCAAGTCTGTCAAGATCCATTTGGATCTTGAGCCTATCTTCTACTCTAAATGGGCAGCAATGTAAATGTTTAAATAAATAAATGTTTAGATCAGATGAATGTGATCCAATAAAAAGAAATGCAATGAACCAGCCTGGGAAATACATCTTTGCTTATTAAATTACTAATCGTTTGATTCAGAGTAACTAAGCTGAGAACTTGCTAGTTCTTAGTCCTTCTTAAACTTACTAAGAACTTGGGGAACAGAAGAAAACATAACTTAGGTAGCTAACAAGCACCTTTGGGCCCTTCTCTCCATGAGATTATAAAACTCTCTCAAATGCTGTTAAGCTAGGAAGTAGCTATATTTTCCAGGGAAAAATATTATGAGATATGCTGAGTGTTTACTTACTTGGCTCTGCGGAGCAACTGTACAGCCTCTTCATTTTGGCCTTGTGCCACATACAGCAGACTCAATTCCAATAGTGCATTAGGTACCAAGTAATGATCATACCTGATCTTCTTCTCACTGTAATAAGATAGAAAGCTGGAAGTTTTACAGGTTTTGCTGTAGTGCAGTTTCCCCTGATCTAAGCCCTCCAGATAGTTTGGAATTAAGTTCCCAGAACAGTCAACAATGCCTCACACTCCCCACCCCCAATTTCCCCCCAATTTTTTTTTAATCAAAGATGCCTGCATCATACCTTCTATGGACCGCACTGAAGCATGCCTCAGCCTCAGTCAAACTGTGCAAATGCTTGAAGACTAAGCCTTTGAGAAGTAACACAAGACACTGGTCATCTACCTGGTACTCACTGGCTGAGGAAATTGTGGGAAGAGAAATGGAAAGAGCAGAAGAAAGGTTAACCAGGACGAGCAGTTACTGCATATTCTACTTTGCAGAAAGGTTAATTGGCAATATTTCCATTCATATTCGTGTAGCAGGCAGGTTACTCATTCTGCTTGTACGGGTAAAAACGGAGGCCATAGATCTCCCTGCACATCTATAATAGCTTGTTTGTGATGCCAAACTACAAAAGAGATTCCCCTTCCAAAATGTACAAGGGGATGTTTATTATTTTTAAAGATCAGATGGATTTCCTCCAGGACTTTAGATTCATACATAAAACAGAATTATAGAGCTGGATGGGCCCATAAACATTATCTAGTTGATTCTTCTATACAATGCAGGAAAAAACCATTTTTTTCACTAGTGCACTTTTCACTAGTCCAGTGCAATAGGCTGATCTGAGAGACTGACTGACCCAAGTCACCCAAGCCAATTCAACCTTATTTACAGGGACAAAGTATCTACTAAACTACATCTTACCAAAATCATCATAATTTGGTGTGGGCAGTTTCTACCAAAAAACTGAAAAAAGGTTGAGGGAGGGGAGAGTTGCTAATGAAAAAACAGCTCCCTGTTGCTTGATTTAATATACATATTTCTCCCTAATTCTCCGTTTCTCCCAAAATATCCCCATGCATGATTTCCTTTTTGAGTTGATAAGACTTATTTAAAATGTTAAAAATAATGTTTGATCTCATGCAAAATGGATGCTGGGGACAGGAGCTTGCCTATTTGTGTTTTTTTAAAGCTCCAGAGTGGGACAAAACCAGTTAAAACACTTATTGATCAGAATACAGCCCATCATTAATTCCAGGTGTTTCCTATAGGATGATTCTTTTCCTAAACATGGGCTTTGGTTGTTTACCATTTCTTATTTTCTGAGAAAGCATGTAGAGCCTGGCTGTAAACCAGGGTCATTTTTGGAAATAAAGATTATGCCAATGTTTTTGCAGCCTGCTGGTTCCTGTATTTAAATTGAAAGATGAGGTGGGTCAAGGAGCTTGATGATGTCTTTCTTGCTAAGCTGGGGAACCACTGTCTGTTGACACCAACTTTGCTCTACGTGTAGGAAGCCAGCGTGCTACCTGGTGCTTCTTTTAGCTGCTTCTCAGCCTGTATCAGAGTGTCTAAAGTTCCTTCCAACAACTCTTGCTGCTTGCCCAGCACTGTAAATCCATTCCACATGTACATCATTTCCTGAAAAAAAGATAAACCAATACAGAAAGTGAAAAATAGTGAAAAGAAAGGACTAGGTGAAAAGGACTGGGGCAACATGATAGCAGTATTCCAATATTTGAGGGGTTGCCACAGAGAAGGGGGGGGGGTCAAGCTATTTTCCAAAGCAACAGAAGGCAAAACAAGAAACAATGGATGGAAATTAATCAAGGAGAGAAGCAACTTAGAACTAAGGAGAAATTTCCTAACAGTGGGAACAATTAATCAGTGGAACAGCTTGCCTTCAGAAGTTGTAGGTGCTCCATCACTGGAGGCTTTTAAGAAGGGACGGGACAGCCACTTGTCTGGAATGGTATAGGGTCTCCTGCTTGAGCAGGGGATTGGACTAGAAGACCTCCAAGGTCCCTTCCAGCTCTATTATTCTGTTACTCAGAATTGTGGCAGCAGCTATAAATGGAGGAGATATATTTTGTCACTCTACATCATGGAAGAACCAGTTTGGTACAGTGGTGAAGGCACCAGGGTAGAAACCAGGAGACTATGAGTTCTAGTTGTATCTTAGACATGAAAAGAAGCTAGGTGACCTTGGGCCAGTCACAGCCTTAGGAAGGAGGCAATGGAAAATCTTGCCAAGAAAATTGCAGGGACTTGACCAGGTAGTCACAGGAGTCAACACTGATTTGAAGGCACACCAGGAACCAAAAATTTCATTCCTGAACTCCCCAACATGTGAGCCAAACTATACTGTTTGCTCAGAATGCTTACACATTGCTTAAGATTACTAATTTTATTTTGAAGGAATAAAATATGTTGTGGATCCTCCACCAACAAGGCCCCACAACAGTCCCTTGCTCATTTCCAGTTTAACTACTATCTGCCTTCAAAAGATGGTGACTGCATTCCCTTGCACATTCACAGCCAGTTATGGATATTTTTTAGCAGTGAACAAACCTAGTTCCTTCTTTTAAATGTGTTATTAGTTTTAAGCTGACCTGGATCTCTTATCTTCTGAGCCAGAAATTCAGGTTCCACGATAGTTGATTTGTTAGTGTTAAAGTAGAGCCTTTTCCCCCTTACTGATTCTGAAGATCTCTTAGGATGCAGTTACACAATTCAGATACGGGTTTGAAATTAAGCTCTGTGCATACAAAAGGCAGAGATCTCAATCTAGTGTGGCAATTGTGCTTTACTCCTGTAATTCTGTACTTTAAAAAAAATTATATTATAATTTTACTGAGATTAGTTCTTCACCTATAAATACAACACTATCTGGGAAAGAGTAAGAAGCTGGTTTCTGTTCTGCAAAAATCCTGTCATTTGGAGCACACTATCCATTGTTGGTAGGCCCTTCTCTGACAAATGTCAATTAACTAGAATCACAATAGATCTTAGCATCTTGTTATATTACAGTTTTGCAAGGCAAAAATGGGAGAATGTGCCCAAGAGTATATTTCTCAGTTGTGTATGTATACAGCGTGGAAACAAGCTTGCCAAATAATTTAGGAAGAACATCCATTCAAGTTTTCACTTTTGACCTGCAGTTCATGGATCAAATTCAAACACTGCCAGCTTGGCATAACTGTGAAGAAATCTCCTTTGAGACTCTGTGCTGCGAAATAGTAGAGATCCACTTTCTATCCTTACCAGAGCTGGCACAGGTAAGGGAACCAAGTCACTCGATTTGTAGCGCCTTGCTTTGCGAATGGCAAATTTCTCTGTGGGTGGAGATTTCCCAGCAATTTTCTGTTTGAAGGAGGAAACCTGCCTGTAGGGTAAAAGCATGGAAATTACTAATGTTTCACAAAGGCAGGTATGTGGAAATTAAAAATCTAAGAAAGTTTAGAAAGAGTTTAATCCAGTTCTGCCACATTATACTTTAAATCTTTTAAAGTTTTCAGTCCTTTACAAGTAGCCCTTTAAGTAAGACATTGATTATGCTTCTGCATTCTAACAACATTCATTCACAAGGAATTCATTCATTCACTGCATGAAAATTTCTGTGGCAAATCCATTATAAATCTGCAGATTCCTAACCTTGGGGATTTGTAATCAGTTTTACCATTGGAACAAGAGAAAACTCTTTAAATCTGGCTGGAGAATTTTGGGAGTTGAAGTCCACACATCTTAAAGTTCCTGAGGCTGAGAAACAATGTTTTAGAACATTAATCTTAAATTGCCTCAATTTTCAAAAAACTCTTACCTAAAAAGTTCAACCTCTACTTCACCAAAGGGCCGTGGCTCTTTAGCAGGCAGCATGCTAAGGAAGGCAGCTTTCATATATACATACATTGCCTGCAACAAAACATCAAAGGAGAACATTACAAGATTCTGACAGGAGCCAACTTATTCATTCGTTCGTTCGTTTATTTATTTATTTATTTATTTATTTATTTAAAATCTTTATGTAGCTGCCCATCTTATACCAAGCTCTGGGCAGCTCCCAAGAATTAAAACAACATAAAAACCTGTGCCCATCTTATCTGGCATTCTTCTTTCTCAACAGCCAGCATTGTCATCTCTGCAAGATAGACCAGGCTAAGAAACCAATGCAAAGGAGATGGACTATTTTTTATTGTAATAGTCATGGTATTGGAATCTTGCAAGTCTGAATGTACTTCCCCCTTCCTCTCTTTATCTTCATGGGAACTAGTAAGAAGGTGTCTGAAATTTGCTGAAATTAGTTTCTTGGCCTGGGCTCAAGTCCTGTTTATCTAATTGTTGTCTTGGTAGCACCTCTTCCTCCTGTCCTTCAAAGCCATTACCTATGTCCTCTACAAGCATGGAAAGAGGCACAATCATCCTCTTCCGTTACAGCTCCCCAGGCAGCTATTAGTTGTTAAAATATGATGACTGAGATGCAAAGTAGTAAACAGGGAATAACCACAGATAATACTGTCTTCTATGAATTGTTCAGCCCCATTTTAAAACTATTTAAAATTAATGGTTAAATTAATGGTTATTGCCACATCTTAAATTAATGGTTAATTTAAATTAATGGTTATTGCCACATCTCATGGAAGCACATGGCATAGTTTAACAATATGTTAATATTATCTTTTTTCAGCCCTGAGTCTCTTTTCCCTTCAATGAGTAAACCAAATTTCTGATATTGTAAGGTAGGGGAAATCTCCCATATTTTCTATCTCAAAAGCAATTTAGTAATTCATGCTTACTTTTACCCACTTCCACTTCAAAGTGAAAAATTCTAAATGCTCCTCTTGCTGGAGAGTTACTCTCATCCTCTAAATATTATGGTTGCTCTTTAAAAAAATATTTATAATAGTCTCTTTAAGGTATGGTAACCAGAACTATACATAATGTTCAAGTACTGTATAATCTCACCATCCGTCATAATGCCATAGTTATATTGACAGTTTTATATTAAATTCCCTTCTGATGAATCAAGCATAGAATTTGTGCATTCTCTCTTTTTGTAACAGTTATACTGAGCCATGGACTATGACTCCACAGCCCCATTCATGATCAGTTGATGCTAGCTTTAATCCCATTAATAGATAAATGTAATATCTCAGCACCAAGGTTATAGAACATCACTTCTGAAACTGTGAACACACACTTGACTTTGATAATCCAGCTCCATAGTCTTCCTCAAATGCCAGGCTTCAAAACTGGAAGAATTGGTGCTGAGTGACTAAAGGTGGAATCAACAGGAAAAGTCAACAAATTCCCAAAGTTTCAATAGCCTTGATGTACTTTGCCTTTTTTTAAGGAAGAGATTTCCATAATTTGGTATAATGTTTGAATGTTTTGTTCAAAAAGACTGGTTGTTCTTTAATTGCTGTACACCTTTCTAACCTTAGACCAGCGGTTCTCCTTGCTCAGCAGATCTGCGTAGAAGTAGGCCATCTTCCACATTCCTTTGTAGGCAAAGCACCACATCAGTTCCCAGTAGCACATGTGGTGAAACTGCTTCCAGGCTTGCTGTGCTGAGCAGCCTTCTTCAAACTTCTTGATGGCCTGGCCAGGGAGGGAAAGGTCAAAAGGAAAACCACAAAGGGTTTAGAAAAGCTAACAGTTTTACTGGCAAGGAGAAAACAGGGTTCATATAATACTGGAGGTAAGTTTCTTCTTGAATTCAACTTCCTAAAAAAAAAATCATAGCTTCCTTTTTTAATAATAAGCAATTACAAAGCAACGAGGGTTAGACATTTGTTAAAATAGGTTTGAAAATTGGGATATTATGATAATTCAGAAATACAACAATATCCATATTTGTGACCTGGATTTCCAGAACTTCCTCCAACTCTTTCTTTCGTCTTGCTGATATGTTCTTTGTTAATATCTTTGTTTTATCTTTATTTATTTTCAAACCTGCTACTTTTCCGTACTCTTCTATCTTTTCTATTAATTTAGGTGCTGTTTCCAGTGGATCCTCTAATATAAATACCAGGTCATCTGCAGAGGCTTGCAATTTGTACTCTTCCTTTTTAATTTTCATTCCTTTTATTTCTTTTTCATCTTTAATGTTCCTGTTCAACACTTCCAATGTTAACACAAACAACAGAGGCAACAGTGGACAACCTTGTCTGGTCCCTTTTCTTATGTCTATAGCATCTGTTAACTCTCCATTTATCATGACCTTTGCAGTTTGTTTCTATGGCTTGAATATTTTTTTTACCAAAGCCCATTTGTTTTAACTGTAATAACATAAATCACCAACTCACATTGTCAAAGACTTTCTGTGCATCTAAAAACATCAAAGCCATTTGCTTTTCAGGATGTGCTTCATAATATTCCAAAGTATCCAGAATTATTCTCATATTATCTTTAATTTGTCTCTTTGGCAGAAATCCGTTTTGATCAGAATGAATAAAGTTATTTAAATATCTTTTCAGGCTTTCTGCCAAAATTGAAGCAAAAATTTTATAGTCTGAGTTTAGTAGGGATATTGGTCTATAATTTTTAAAATTTAATTTTTAATAATAAGGTTAAGTATTTAGGGATATATTATATAACAGCAAGATTCAATACACTAAAGGAGGATAATTATCTTAAACTCAAACAACAGATTGCGAAAGATTTGATAAAATGGGAAAATCTACAATTATCATTGATTGGGAGAATATCTACAATTAAGATGAATGTATTGCCTAGAATTTTATATTTATTCCAGACAATTCCAATCAGATTAGGGAAACAGTTTTTTGAAGATCTAAATAAAATAGTGTTAAAATTCATTTGGCAGGGAAAGAAAGCGAGAATAAAACTTAAATTGTTACAAGATGCAAGAATAAGAGGAGGATTCGCTTTGCCCAATTGGGAATTATAATACCAGGTGACAAATGTGATGTGGGTAAAGCAATGGATAATATTAAGGAACAGTAGATTATTGACCTTAGAAGGACATGACTTGCTGTTGGGATGGCATGCCTTCCTCTGGTATAAGGGAACCAAAACACAGGGGTATTTTAGAAGACATTATATTCGAGAGGCATTATTTTTAAATTGGGAGAAGATAAAAAAGCAATATTACTTAAAAATTACATTATGGTTATCTACTATCGAAGCTTTTCCTTATCCAATAACATATAAGAAGGAACAGGCAGTTATATATGGTGAGATATTGAATGAAAAGTGTGAACTTAAATCTATGCAAGCACTGGAAGAACAAGGTATAAAAATGAATTGGTTTTCATATGTACAATTACAATCTAGATTTGATAAAGATCTTAAAACAGAAGGTTTCTATGATAAGTTGACTGATTTAGATAATATTTTGACAGGTACTGATGAAAAGGTAATTAAAAAACTAGGGACATTTATTAGAATGTAAATTTGAGGAAGAACAAGTTAAAGAAATGATGATTGCTTGGAGGAAAAATTTTGGATATGGGATTGATTTAGAGAAATGGCAAAAACTGTGGTCTCAAAACTATAAAATGACAATGTCAACTGCTTATAAAGAAAATTTGTATAAGATGTTTTACAGGTGGCATTTACCCCCGACGAGAATTGTGAGAATGTTTAAGAACAAATCGGATAAATGTTGGAAATGTCATCAGATGCCTGGTTCATATTACCATATGTGATGGATGTGTCTGAATGCAAAGAGATATTGGACTAAAATCCACACATGGTTGGAAAAAATGATAAAACCACATATAGACTTTAAATATTTACTGAGATATTTTTACTGGGAATTATACCGGAAATATCCAATAAAGAATTGAAATATTTGATTGTAAATGTTTTAACAGTGGCAAGAATTGTATTTGCTAAGAATTGGAAAAATGAAAAAATACCTAGGCAGGAGAAAGTTATTAAGAAAATTATGGACTGTGCTGAAATGAGTAAATTGACATTTGAAATTAGAGAACAAGAAGATAAACAATTTTATATGATATGGGACTTATTTTATCAATGGTTAGATAAAAAGACATGGTAATGAAATAGACTAGGAAATTTTATAATAGAAGACTAATAGATTGATGTAGAACATAATATAAAAATATATAAACATTGGACGAATGCATAATATAAATGTATAGTAAAATCTAGAATATCTCGTATAAAATGATGGAATAATAGTTTAGTCAAATGAATGATTAATAACTGATAAATATATAAGCATATGTTAGATTGCCAATGTGAGAATCTATACAACCTATGAGTAAGGACTATGAAAGGATAGCACAAAAGATTTGTAACCAGCTGACACACTGTATGTATATAACTGGAAGATGGTTTTATGTTTTTTATGTTTTGTCTGTATATGTTTGCCTTAAAAAATAAAAAAGTTTATTAAAAAAAAAAAATATAACAATATCCAGTGATTGTCTGTGTGCCATTACTCTGAATTTAGAGTTGAAATGAACATTTATTTTTGATGAACAGTCATTGAGATGTGTAGAACACAAAATTAAATGCTTGATTCTGAACTTCGTATGTTCCTACCTTCTTCATTTTCCATCCCAGCAACTGGTGGGTCTGGGTACAGGAGGTGCTAAGATGACGATTGTCATCATGGAACACAGAAGCTTAAAATTTTGGATATACTACCGTAATATATCAGACTTAACAATAATTAGTAGGATGATTCAGGCACACTGTCTGATCTGCCATCTTCAACTTAGTGCTTTGCTTGCATCTGCCATGAATTATTAGGGGGATGGTGGAAAGAGGAAATAGGAAACTGGTATGTAGAGGGTAGAGATGAGTCAAAGGGAAAGTGGGTTGACAGAAGCCAGAGGTGTGAGAACCAGCCTGTTCCAGTTTTCAAGGCCACAGAGCCTGGGAATGGAATGCAAATTACAGCAAGTGGTACCAAACATTTGAGGAGTTCCCAAAACACCTATGCAGCATATCATTGGATGAAGCCAAACCAGCCAAAGGGGGAGGGCCAGGGAGAAGGGGAAAGTCTGTCACTTTTTGTGCATAATAATCCTTAGTAAAAGAACTTATCACTTCAACTAAATGGAGTTGAGGGTCTTTCTTTCCTAGGGACTTAGTTGGGACATGCCTGACACATTCCATGATGGTGGAATACATAGTAGCTAGATTCCTGTTCTGATCCTACTAAAGCACCTCACCTCATTGATGTTCCCTTTGATTTCCTCTATCCTCCCAGCAAAGAACAAGAAAATGGCACTCTGCAAAATTAAAGAAAATTATACTCAGGTATGGGGAAACAGCTATATGCAATATGACAAACCCTATGTTGATACCCTGTTGATCCACTCTTTCCCTCCACACTATCCATCCAAAGCAATCTTTACTAGGATAAGAAACCTTATCAAAGGTGATAGCAAAAAAAAACTTACCTTGAGTCCCAGAGTCCTCATGGAGCATATACCTCATAGTGGAGAGAGATAATCTCAAATATTTCTACACCACTTTGGATAGATTAGTCCCACTTTTATCTGCCTCCCCCCTAATCCTTTAGAACCTTCTGAAGCTCTTAGTGCATCCGTCAGTTTAACCAAACTACCTGCCATATCAAATTAACAGATTTTGCTTTAAAAGGAATGCCTAGCAAACCTTTTAAGCTTTGCTACACAGAAGGTGAAAGTTTGAGTTTACATGTACCACATTTTTTTTTTTACTGAAGCTCTAAATGTAAAAGGGCTGCTTGGATCTTCAAAAAACTGTCTTATGTTTAAAAAATGACAATTTAAAAACCTGGAAACAAAGTGAAGGACCAGAAGAGAGAAATATTATTTGATTATTTAAAAAATATATGAATCTAAATCTGAGTTTCCCTTTGGGCTTGAGGCTCAGGTTGAAAGTCCCAAACTCCTCTCCACTGCAGCATTGGCCTCCTAGATGCAAAATGTAAAACATCATATGCCTTCCCCCACATCTAGCTCTGTTGCAACCAAAACATTTCCTTACAACTCTGAGTAGGGAAAGAAAAATCTAATTGATCCTTCAATTAGACACAAACACAGGCAAAAAGTAAATGACCTGAAGGACAGGGCAGTCATTTTGGATACACTTTTTATTGATTGATTGATTGGCCTTTGGGCCATATCAAAGTGCAGAGTTCCAGAAACAAATTATTACTAAATTTTGATAAAAGCAATTTAAAATGGAATTGGAATAAAACAAATGACAGGACAGTCATTTGGATACCATTTTACCTGTGGATAGCGGGAGAGGTATGGCTTCAGTAGGGCCTCAGCCTCTGTGAAATCATCTTCACCAATCCCTGGGGACAACACAGAGAAAAAAAGTGCATATTGTGAATAAGGATAAGCCAATTATAAGTTCATGTTTCCCAGACATACCTTGAAATATCCAGCTGGAGACTGAAGATATTCTTATGTATATAAGAATTATATTATTATATATTATATAGTGGCCCAGGGACAACCTCGGCCTTTAAATCTCTAATTAATAGTGTTCAAAGGGAGCTAGGAGACGTCCGTAGGCCGAGTGGTCCATATCATTCAAGAAGTAATTCTTGGTTTGACAAAGAGTGTCTGATGCTCAGGAACCAGATTAATTGGGTTTACCTGCTCTATCGCAATCGAGGGGATAAATGCCCACCAGAGGACTACTATCGCTTGAAGCAGGAGTATAAAGGACTAATTGCTAAGAAAAAGAAAGTTAAAGAGAGAGAGAAGTGGGATCTACTTCTCCTCTCCATCCAGCAGAAGAACACTCGATTATTTTGGCAAATTGTTGCCAGCTCCTTGCCGGGTCATCAAGAACTCCCTCTCTGCTGTACTTCCAACAGAGACTGGGAAAACCATTTCTTGGCAATTTTCCAGGCGTCAACAAGTTCAACTGTGCTTGGGCCACAGATGCCTCCTGCAATTCCTGACTGGCAACCCGTGACTCATGCTGAGATTACCGAGCTTATCTCCGAACTGAAGTCAGGCAAAGCCCCTGGCCCTGATGCTATACCCCCTGATCTGCTAAAATCCAACCCCGAATGATGGATTCCTCTCTTAGCAAGACTCTTCATGCATATCAATACCTCTGGCAGGATCCCTACCTCCTGGAGCTTAGCAATTATTGTTCCAGTTTTTAAACGAGGAAATAGGAACAATCCAGCCAACTATCGCCCCATAAGCCTGCTCTCCATCATTGGGAAACTGTATGCTAAATATCTCCAACGGAGACTCCTCACCTGGGTTGAGAAGTCCAATATTATTGGTGCTGAACAGATTGGGTTTAAAGTGGGCTGTGCCACACTGAACCACTGCTTTGTCTTAGCGCACCTGGTCAATAAATATACTACCATACCAGGTGGCAAACTTTTTACTGCTTTTATCGACCTAAAGTCAGTGTTTGACTCAGTCCCTAGGGGACTGTTGTGGTCAAAACTGCTCAAAAGTTCTATCGATAGACATCTTCTGTTCCTAATTAGATCCTTGTACAACCAGACCTCTAGTCAGGTCAGGTGTGGTCTGCAGGGAGAACTTTCAAATCCTCTCCCGATTAAGAACAGAGTAAGGCAGGGTTGTGTTCTGGCTCCTCTTTTGTTTAATTTATTCTTATCTGACTTGGCCTTTCACATTGGACGTATTGAGTCCCACGCCCCAAAGTTGTCAACTACGAAGATCCCGCTTCTCCTTTATGCTGATGATGCAGCCCTCCTTTCATTGTCAAGGCCAGGTCTGAAAAGATTATTTTCTGCATTCGTTTCCTACTGTGCTGAGAACCACTTGTCTATTAATTACGACAAATCCAAAGTATTGGTGTTCTCTAGAGCCCGGAAATTGTATAACTGGGCTATCAATGGTAATGCTATTAAGCAGGTTTTCCATTTTAAGTATTTAGGTATTCAATTTCAGAACACCGGTGTTTGGACTAGACATCGAACCCAGGTGCTGAACTCAGCCTCCTGTAGTCACCAGCAGATTTTAAGATTTTTTTATACCCAAGGAGGCCAGTTTATTCCTTCTGCTCTGCGTATTTACAAAGCCAAAACTTTGGCTCAAACTCTTTACGGAATTCCCATATGGATATGGGGCTTCAAGGATTGTATTGAAAGAACCCAGGCTGTCTTTCTTAGAAAACTTCTGGGTCTTCCTCCTTGTGTTGGTTTTGCTCCGATGTACCTGGAACTGGGCACTCGATCAGTCGAATGTATGGCGTGGATTAACACCCTTAAATGGTGGTTTCGGGTGCTCTTTCTGGCAGTTCCTGGTAGCTACCTCTCCCTGGCATTTGCTGACTCTCATATTTCTCATTGGGAGAGGGAGCTGATGAAGAAATTACACCTGCTAGGTTTTACGGGGGATGCCCTGGGAGATTATGGCCTTAAGGACGCCCAATTTAGGGTAGTCCAACGGCTTGTCGACATTGACTTGCAATATCTATAAGCCAGAGCTAACAAAACTTGCTCCCCTCTGATCTTCAGCCAATTTAATAATTACGGACTGAGGATGGCTTCCTATTTTTACACTCTAACCATTCCCAAGTATAGAAGAGCTTTCTCCCTAGCTCGCTTTAATGTCTTGCCCTCAGCACTACTGGATGGGCGATTTAAGAGGCTCCCGATTAACGAGCGGCTATGCCCCTGTGACAGAGCTGAGGTTGAAACTGTGGAGCATGTCCTTTTATATTGCCCTATGTATAACACAGGCAGATCTAAGTTACTGTCTCTCCTTGAAACAGACCCTTCTAGACCCAATGTTAGTAATTTGTCTAGGGGATGGCTCCTCATACATCACTTCTCAGGTTTCCAATTTTTTTTTTTTAAGAGCTGTAACCATCAGAGGAGAATGCTGTAATTCCCCTTAGTCAAGTTTTTGGTGACCAATTGTTCATGATTAATTTTCCCATGTTCTTCTTTTGTTGTACTTGTGTTTTGGTCTGTGACTGCAAATAAAATATTATTATTATTATTTTATATTATAAATATTATATATCATACTTTATGGTTATCCCTGAAAAAAAATATTTATTGGGTTGCTCGAGTTCCCAGCTGGGTCAGGTAGCCAATCCTGAAGATTTCTGTTACAAGTCCCTAAAATTGAAATGTTTCAGTCCCATTTCCTACCTTTCTCTTATCCACTTAAGTAATCAGCACAGATTGTCACTGTTCGTACTGAAACCCTCTTGACCCTGCAGAAGGTGGCCCCCTTTTTTGAACTGATTATTAATAAACATTTATAAAAACACATTTCATGAGTTTGCTGAATTCCAATTATCTCACTAAGTCTTAATGTGAATCATACCGGATAGGGAAATATAATTATACTACTGTATATGCAAGAACAAAAGCCTACTTGCTTTCTTGCAGAAATCCGTCTCACTATGACTGAAGGAGTGCTGAGCAGACTTATACCTATTAGGTTAGACCAGCTTTCTTCTTCTTCTTAGTTCAGTCATAGTGATGCTGATGCCTCCCGTTAGAACTTATTTTAGTTAATTGCATAAAAAGATGTACATATCCCCATTAACTGACTTTAGTCACAATAAGAAAACAACCCCCCACCCACCCACCCCCAAGCAGCCATCTGTTGGGGAAAAGCGATGCAGTTCCTTGATCATGCTGCTGCCCCATTTCCAATGCTTCTCTCCGGTGGAGAGATTCACTTACCTAAGATGAAGGTAAGGAAAGTATAGTAACAGAGAAGCAACATTGTACAAAGTAGAGCCCGCAGGTTGGGTGTCGTGGCTCCCTGATGTAGTTTTTGCAAACCATAATCCTGAATGGAAATTAGAAATAATATTCAGAAAACCGAGAGAACCCATGGAAAGAAGGAGAAGAAATGTTGTACCCATTTGCAGATAAATTCAGCAAAGGTGAGATACAGATCCAGATACAGAAAAGTATTCTGGATAGGGACACTGGTTTTAGTGATCTTTATGGGATTTCAAATTGTCCATATGGAGGAACCCAGAAATTAGTGCCCTCACCCCACTGCCAGAAAAGTGAAATGCATTTCTGAGTTCATGCATAATATTAAGCTATAAAGTACCCTGGTTTTGTTTTGGATTAGCATGGCATTCATAAGCATCCAATTTAATTATATTACAAATTACATCTTATTATTGGTTCAATGAACCATGAGTTTAAAACTTCCAAGCAAAGTGTTACATATTACCATAACTGTTGCTTCATTACTGTCTCTAAAAATATTGCAATCATTTGGGTTGTTTCAGCCCAGTTAGGTTAACTGCTTTTAATCTGTTGCTCTCCAGCATTCTATTGATCATGGTGGTAGGAATACTGGAAATTATCATCTAATGTATTGGGAAGACACCATACTAGGGAAACCCAGAGAAATCAGTTTTGAGAATTTTAATTACTGAGCTAAGTGTACCAGCGTCCTCTCACAAAACAGTTATACATCACCAGATACATTCTGCGAACCCAAATAATGCATCCATAGCCTTCAAACTGGCCCTTGTACCTTGTCCCCTGAAAACCCAGCAAATTCCAGAAGTCTCAAAATCCGGGGTGGAAAGAGGGAGAGAGTCTGTGGAAAACACGTAAAACATAAAAGATAACAGAGACACATGTAAAGACTACATCCTCATCCCAAATTTTCAATGTGTCCTTCAAAGTAGAATAGCTTTTTTCAACATGATCAACTCTGAACCTTTGTTGACATTGTCTACTACAAAGCCCTTCACATCCTCTTCCCCACCGTTTTCTTCCATTGGTATCATCTTTTTCCAGGAAGGCATTATGGCTTGCTTCTCTTTTAATAGTAAGCACCCATGCTGTATTACTTAAGACTTTGGTGCTATACTACTCAGAACCTATACAGATAAATGCTTCTCCACAGCAACATTTGATTCTACTACACACACAAAAAGCTCTGTCTAAAGAAAAATAGAATCATAGTGAAAATTTTGACCCTATCCTTTACCCTTCTCATAATACCTTTTCCTCTAATGGAGGGACATTTCAACATATGTGCCTCCAAGTAAATAACTTCCCTAGGAACAGTCAGAATTATGGGGAAGTCTGAGTTCCTGATCACATTCTGCCCACTGGACTCGAATCATTCTATTAGCAGAAAAAGATTACGTCTGGAAATGTACTAGCTGATCCCAAATGAACACGAGAAGAATGTGTTAGAAGTAAAATTGGGATTAGAGGCATTTTAATTTATTCTGAACCCAGAACAAATCATTGCATTCCACACATTTTATTATGCTTCAAATCCAAATGTATGTTTGGTTCGGGCACAGACTGCCTGGAATCAGCTGTTCAGTGCATGCAATAGTTTATGCACAGAGTGTTTTGCACATGCATAATTGGGATGTATACAATAGTCCGAGTGGTGATGCCATAGATGAAGTTAGATACTTGGCTTAATGGCACTCCTTGGTGCCATAGGTAGCATTTTACTTTTCTTCCATTGACCATCCATAGTGCTTCATTTATTACAGCTCTTAAAATCCTGATATATTAGAGGAAAAAAGGCAAAATAAAAATTCCAAGTTCTGATAAGGAAGAAAAGTTCTGGAATGTGAGCAATTTCATATTTTAAATGCAATTAGTCGTAGCATCATATTGGCCTCAGAAATATAATAGAGCTTGCTTTTGCTACCAAATATATTTGCTTGGAAATAATCACCATTTTATAGTAGTTCTCAAGTAGAACATTTCTAACCATATATACATCTCCTTGATTGAATAACAATTATGCTTGATCAAGTGTTGTACAAAATCACATTGTATTAAACTGTATGCAAAGTGCATATCAAATTGGCCCAAATTTTGCCTCTATGTTGCTTTCTATAAAAATAGTGTAAGATGGGGAGGTGGGCAGAACAAGAAATGAAGCCAGAAGTGTCCTCCCTAAATCACAGCCCAGTGTTCCCTGGGGAAAGGAAAGAAGGCTCATAAAGACCCCTGCTTGAGTTATGCCCATGTCCCTGAAACTGGCTTCTTGGTGCCTTTTGGGGGGGAAAGTTGTTAGGCAAGGCTTAGCTTTCTTCTTAGCAATTAAGAGTATCAGTCTTGCAGAAGGCTATATTTAATTTTTCATATGTCTCTGACAGATGAAGCAAAAGAAGAAAAGTACAGCAGCAACAATTACGCAAGAGAAACCCAGTCTTTCCGGAAACCACAGCACAAATGGCTATGGAGACCCAAAATCCAGCAGCCAGACTGGAGTAGAAGTCCTGCAGTGAGCCAGCCAAACTTTGAGATCCCTCCTCTAGGCAACCTCTGACATTTCTTCTTTATGCAAGCTAGAATGTCATCTTGCCTTCTATTGCAACAAATGGGAAAACACCAACTTCATGCCAAAAACCTTGAACAAGCTTCAAAAAGGGGTCTGCTGTAAGGATGCGACTTCAGCAAATAAGGAGAGTGAGGAGAAGCCTGTTCACACCACAGTAAGCAGCCTGTGTGTGAACCCTTATGGTAGTCTGTCTCATCTAGGCAAAAGAAACTAGCAGAGAATTGTTGCTAAAAGATTATCCAAACTTTGGAAGCTGGTTGTATGGCAAAGAGAAAAGGACATCAAAGGCACTTTTCTAATCAAATTGCCATAACTGTGGTCTGTTGTCATTTTAAACTGAAGAGAAAAGGACTGACAGTTGTTTCATTTGCTTCTCTGAATACTTACTATTGGACACAGATGAACTGAAAGTAGGAACAGCAAGAATGGTATGAACGCTATTAAAAATATGAATGGAGCATAAAGTTGTGATTTTATGTTTTGTCATTAACAGTGTCAACCCTTCAGAAATTATGGACAGCTTAAAACAAATTATTTGATAAAAATGTAATAATAAATATTTGCTAGTTTGAGCATGTCCTTGAGAAGTCACATTCCTATGATCATAAACCCTGTAAACCAGCTTAGGTTGGTCATACAAGACCAAGTTGTTGGGCAAGCTAGTGAAACTAAATGCTAGAGTTCATCAAAAGAATTTACTGCAAAATATTGTAAAAGTGTTACATTTTATGCAACTCAGCTAATAAGAGACTAGTAACAAAGCTGCTTTAATTGATTAAATGGTTTATTTGAAGGAATATGTGAATTCCATTCCCAATAATTCTTTATTGCCACAAAGAAGAGGAGGTCAACCCATTCTCCAATATTGCCAACTCAAGAACTATTGTCATTCTTATAGACAGCCTGATGGTGTCTAACTTTTTTGCACAATGCATAATTTTATGAACTTCTATGACATCCTGTTTTTTCTCAGTTAAAATACCCCATGCAATGTAACCTTTACTCATAGGAGAGGGTTTTTTTTACAGTCCTTTGAGGTTTTCTTCCTGCCAGCCCTGTTGGCTAAGGCTCTCTGATATATGATAGCACAGATAAATACCTGCTGTGAAAAAGAAATTAGAACCAATTATCCCAGACACAGGAATGAAGAAAGGGGAAATAACCTGGGGTGCTGATCTTCAAAGTTTGCAAGCATTTTTAGCTGGCTAAAATTTAGCTTAATATAGTACCTACTTAATACTCACAATAAGTGCTGTTCTTTCCACATATCTGTATATCTTTCTCAACCTGTACATTTGTACATTTGCAACTACAGAACAGCATCATAATGCCCAAGAGAAAACTAAGTGGATTACTTCTGAAAAAAAATTAATGGATTGTCTCTTGGAGTTCAGTTTTTGTCATAAACATCACTTTCTGTGTCCCATAAGAAGCTGTGGAAGCATACTCAACTCACCAAATTGAAGGCTCCAATGCCAAGAGCAACCCCCCCCTCCAGATGGATACGAACAGAGTTTGCAGGCAAGCAACTAGGTTGGATGAAAGCATTCAGCTCTCTGTGAATATAAAAAAGGTTACAGAACACCACTGCCAATTTATCTGCCTGAAACTACCATAAAAAGAAAAAGGGTTCTATTTCATAGACCTTTTTCACTCTAAACCTGGCTTTTAGTCATACAGGGAATTCAATTCATTCTCTAAGACACTCTACCATATGCCATAGACCCAAAAGGCAACACAAGGGATAGTGGTTTACATTCTTTTGTACTACTATATCTCTATATTCATTTTAGAAAGAATCACTAAAGTCCCCCCCAAAAAAACTTTTTAGTCAGTTTAAATATTTTACAGAAGGAAGCAGGCACTACAATAATTTTAAAAATGGGGAAAATATCCAAAGGAGATTGCTTAAAAAATTGGCTATGTTAATTTTTAAGGTATATATACTTTTTATTCCCGCAGTTAAATAATACAAGTTGAGACTAATTCAAATCCCTACTCTTCCATGAAATTTGTTGAGTAATTTTGGACTCATCGACCTCTTATGCACACCACTAGAATAAAGGATAATCAAAGCTACCATTTCAAACTCAAGAGAAGAAAAGCAAGATCTAAAGAAAGACTAGGATTATATACATATATTATATACAAATATACATATGAGTTGATTTGGCAATATGTGGGCCTGTGACTAAAGTGCCGTGGTTTATGTCAGCAGTTGGGTGGCTCCGCTTGGTTCTGCCAGTTATGTGTGGAACCATCCGCTCTAATCTTAGTTCCTCTTCTCTGTCCCACAATCCCCTTTTGGCTAGGATGGGGATTGGATAAAAGAGTGCCCACAGCCCCCTGTTGATTAAGCAGTTACTCAATCAACACGCAAGAACAAGCACATAACTAAGAATAAACTTAACTAAGGTGTTCCTGATTATAGAAACACTATGAAAAACACAACTGAAAAACTCAGTTCTTTGGATTGCTGATTGTTCTTGTCCCTTTGTTGTTCACTGTTGACCTAATAAATGTGCTAGCAAATAGCTAAGAGATATAAAAACAATGCTGCCATCTACTGGTCCAATAGTCCAATAGTCCATTGGAGGATCAAGAGGTAGCAAAATACTGAAATTGATTAACTCATTCTAGATTTAAGGCATGTAAATGAAAGGATTCAACTCTTGTCCTTCTGTAGCCTATCAGACAAGAAATTCCTTGGCAGTGGTTGATGTTCCCAGGGAATTCTGGCTTATTTCTTCTTGACATCTTTTTTTCTTAGAGTAATTTACAAGTTCCTCATTGATTCCCATAGCTAAGCCTCTTTCTCAAACTCCAGCTATTCAAAAACATGGCAACCAGAGATTGCATTTTGGTCACATTGGTCCAGACAACCATCAGAGGAAAGCCAAGAATGACTGCAGAAACAATATAACTCTTTTCTGCCACCTAGTGGTTAAAAGGTTGTATAGTCAATCTATAGTTTTAAAAAAAATCAGATATTGATAGAAAAAAACAAAGGAAACTGTTGCAACATACAGAGGAACTAGGGCATTGTACATGACAAGTGGCTTTTAATATGAAGGATAATGTTGGATGGGGCTGGGATTTTAGTTGCGGGGTCACTATGTTTTGCCATGGGAATGTTGTGCCTTAACATGTATGGGCAGCAGAAGAGCATGGATCCCTTCTGGATGCCCTTGTAAGGGTACACTGTGAAGGCACCAAGATTGAAGGAAACATGATTTTCCTTCAGCTTTAGGATGGGAAACGTCAAGGCATCAAATTGGAAGATGAACAAAGGAGACATTCCTCACTAATGCTCTTTCTCATTCCTACCTGTGACTAAACCCCCTTCATTTACCCGACCTGCCTTCCCAACTCACCTGTAGATGAGGTAGCTGCTACGCACCTTAATTCCTCCTTTTATAAAATTAACCATGTTTTCATCCTGTAAGAAGCAAAATGTCTCCATGAATAAAACAACCTCAGTTTGCTGGGATGATGTATTATGCCACTCCTAGTTACACAGCACTCCATCAAAGGCATTCATCACACTTGGCCACCAGCAGGATAACTGTTGAAATGTTGAGACTTCATTCCCCCCCAGCTTGCTTTCATCAAAAGAAATCAATGTCAAGATAAGTGGGGGAAACTAACCTCTAGACCAGTGAGGGTGAACCTTTTGGTTGTGGTGTGCTGAAAGGCACATGTGCTGGCACCCACAATGCAATGTGCCCCACCCCCCTGCGCATGCACGCGCAACACCCCATACCCGCCCCCTTAACTGCACTGTGCATGCGTGTGCCTCCCAACTGGTTTTTGGCCCATTTGAGACTGTTTTCGCCACCCTGAAGGCTCGAGAGAAGCCTCTGCAGCCTCGGGAGGCCGAAAAACGGGCCTTCTGGAAATACCAGAAGTGCCCATTTTCAGCCTCCAGAGGGCCTCTGGAGCTCGGGGGAGGCTGTTTCTGCCCTCCCAGAGGCTTGAGGGAAGCTTCCGGAGCCTCGGGAGGCTGAAAATGGGCCCGTTTTGGCACTTCCGGTATTTCCGAAAGGCCCTTTTTCGGCCTCCCGAGGCTCCGGAGGCTTCCCTCAAGCCTCTGGGAGGGTGAAAACAGCCTCAAACAGGCCAAAAATCAGCTGGGAGGCACACATATGTGCAGTGCAGGTAACAAATGGTTCTACGTGCCACCTGTGGCATGCGTGCCATAGGTTTGCCATCACGGCTCTAGACAGTTATCTACATCTGATCCCCTTTCCTGATTTGTTTCATAGAACAGTATCTCTCAAGCATTTTGCATTCCAGTTCTGTTTTCCACCAAGCAAGCTAACACAGTGCTCATACATTGGTACAAGCTGGGTCTGTGGAGGTGTCAAAGATGGCAGGAGTGCAGCTCCGCTCCTTTTAAAGATCCAGGTGATACTGATGCCTGTACAAAAGGAGTTTGCATTGTGCTTTTGCTCCACTTGTCCTACAGTTTCCATAGTTAGCACAGATCTGGTTAACTGAGACTAAAACTCTCCAGAGAGCCAGTTTGGTGTAGTGGTGAAGGTGCTGGCCTAGAAAACAGGAGACTGTAAGTTCTAGTTCCCCATTAGACATGAAAGCCAGCTGGGTGAGTTTGAGACAGTCACTCTCTCTCAGTTCAGCCTACTTCACAGTGTTGTTGTTGTGGGGGAAAGGAGGATTATGAACATTTTCTCGAGTTACTTATAAAGATAAACTAAAATTCTAATTAATAAACAAATTCAAACCACAAGCTGTAATATAGGAAGAAAAATGCTGAAATATATTTATCGGATTCTGTCTTCCAGGTTTCTTGCACCTCTCTATCATACTCTCTCTGAGTTGGGAACTACTGTAATAATGGGATAGAATTTGCTATTAAGTTTGAAGAATTTTCTTACCTGGAGGAAGGTGAGGGCTGCCCGGTGCAATAAGCATTCTGCATAACATACTTCAGCATGCAGTTCCTCTGTAACAGGGAAACATGGGTTTAGGGAGTATGTGCAGATTTTCTAATATTGTCTCTACTATTCACCATAGTGACTCATACTTTTGTCATGTCCTATTTGAACTACTAACACAATATGCTCTCAGAAGCTTCAATTGCTCCACAGTGCAAAGACCTGTATGTCAGCCAGTGGGAGCACATTACACACTAGTCCAGCGGTCACCAACCAGTGGGCTGTGGCCCACTGGTGGGCCGTGAGAAAATTTTGGTGGGCCGCACAGAAATCTCACCCCCAGAGCACCCCCACAAAGCAATTAATCCAGGCTGCGCAGAAACACAAGGCTGCACCGCCCACATGGCCTGCAGGAACCCTCTCTGCCCACTCGCTCCTTACCCAGCAAACTTGTCTGCTAAGTTGCTATTTTTCTTTTTCCCGACCATCATCTGTTCTGCTACGCTGGGAGATTTAGATTAGCTAGGAAGCAGGAAATGGTTGGATTTTTTGCTTTCTAGCTAGTCTTTAGATCTTCGGCTCAGCACAGCCGAAACCTCCCTTAGGACTGAAGGTTTGCTTGCAAGCAAATTCAGTGCAGACTCACAGCAAGCAAATTTGAGAGACTGAGCTAGCCAATGGCAGATAGATAGATAACTGAATGATTCTATGAGCAACTCAATCTGCCTGCTTTGCCTGATTTTGGGTAAAAGTTGCTCTTTTTTAAAATAAAAAATTCAATATTTACATGCATGGTGTGTTGTGAGTTAATTTTGTGAGTTTGCTTGCTAGCAAATTTTGTGAGTTTGCTTGCAAGCAAGTTTTATGTGACAGACTGAGCTAGCCAATGGCAGATAGATAGATTTCTGAATGAATCTCTGATTCTGTGAGCAACTCAATCTGCCTGCCTGCTTTGCCTGATTTTGGGTAAAAGTTGCTCTTTTTTTATAAAAAAAATCAATATTTATATAAATATTTATAATATTTACATACAAGCCATGCCCAGCCAGTCACATGACCACCAAGCCACACCCACAAATTAGGCCATGCCCACAGAACCAGTTAGTGGTCCCTGGGATCTAAAATTATGAGTTTGGTGGTCCCTGAGGTCCAAAAGGTTGGCGACCCCTGCACTAGTCCACATTTATGGACCGTAATTGGGAGCAGAAACTTTGTTGCTAAGTGCTGCAGCACATATGGGTTGTTCAGTGGAAAGAGGCAGAAGTCCCAGGTAAGGAACTCAGGGGATCATGGGAGAGACGAGCAGGTACCATTGGGGGTTGGGGGACTGCCACGGGCAGGAGCCGGAGAGCATGGGCAGGTTAGCATGGGATCCAATAAGGCCAGCAGAAGCTGCAGGCAGGTCAAAAGAGGCCTTGGGTGGGCTGGCAGAGATCGCAGGAAAGTAAGGGAGCGCTGCAGATGGGCACACACAGCAGAAGGTAAGAGGGCCGGGAGTGCCACAGAAGTTCCTTGGGAGAACTCCATAATGAACTCCAAAATGGGTTTCTCGGGAGAAAAACAGCAGGACTTACTGGGATGACTTATAACCTCCCTGCAAAGTTGCCCGTTGACCTTGTGGGAAGTCAGCAGGGAATATCACAAATTGTGATCCCCTGATGAGATTCTCTGTGACACTGTAATCACAATATGGGCACCCAAATGCTATAAGATATCTAAAACACCAGATCTAGGGATGGCCTTTTATGAGGTGGGCAATATCTTTCTTGCAATTAGATGTTGACATCCTCCCACATTTAGGAAACAATCCCTCCCTCATCAACTGCTTAAAAGAATCAAGAAAGGCAAACATCCAGTCCGCAGGCGGTAGGGGATACTTCGGAGGACACAACAATCCCAGCTAATGCAGTAAGACAGAGCACCTTTCACTAGAGCCTGCTTATCTGGAATCAAGCAAGACTTGAGTGGATTTGTGCAACTTTATACCTACTCCCTCCTATCCTCCAGCTTTTCCTATATTAAGACAAATAAAATAAACACTTTCTTGACTCACAGCACTCTGAATTTTAACTCTTCTCACCTTCCGTACAAGCATCTCCACCTTGCCGACTGGAGAAGGTACCAGTCACAGTGGTTTTCCTCCGAAATCTATCAGGGGAACCAAAAGCAGTTGAATTACTAGGTTCTTCATCCACCTTCTCCAACCCCTCACCCTGGGAGATCACTTTCCACCAGAAGCCACCAAGCATTATACTCCAGCAGCACCTTTAAGCAGTCCTCTATTATTTCTCTAGGTTATATTCATCCCCCAATCATTTGTCCTTTTGCACCCACCTTTTCATCCCATTTTTAAACTGAGAAGGGAATAAGCTTTTAGAATTGCAGATCTTGTGCCTTGTTCAAGGAAGAATTAAATATCCACCAACTAATGCGGCAATCAAGCCAGACTTTGGGGAAATACTGGTTATTTAGAAGCAATATTCACAAGCTCAACAACCTGTCATCCCCTCTGCAGCAGTCCCAGGGCGTGGCTGCAGAAACAAACCTTCCTATGCTCCATTCCAATGGTGTGTATGAACTACATACCTCTGACAGATCTCCTGGGCTTCTTTCATGGTGTGCCCTGCATGGACAATATCTTCATGTTCAAAGGTCATCATGGCTTGCATCTCCAGGATGGTGGCATAAATTAAGGCATGGTACATGCTCTCTCCAGTTCTGCCAGAAGGGATCAACAGTGAAAGACAAAAGATATGGTTCAAGGCAATACATGGCTTTGCTGATTATATTGATATATATGATAAACACACACAAGCATACATACCAGAGGTGGTATTCAGCAGGTTCTGACCAGTTATGGAGGAAACTTTGAGTAGTTCAGAGAACCGGCAAATCCCACCTCCGACTGGAGATTTTACAGTATCCTTCCCCTGTCACGCCCACCAAGCCATGCCCATAGAACCGGTAGTAAAATTTTTTGAATCCCATCACTGATACATATACACATACCACATACATACATGCATACATACAGCATAAGGCATTAAGAAAGGAAAAAGATTAATATTTGGAACATAGAACATCATCAGAGTTGGAAGGGACCTTGGAGGTCTTCTAGTCCAATCCCCTGCTCAAGCAGGAGGCCCTATACCATTTCAGATAAATGGCTGTCTCTTTTTAAAAGCCTCCAGTGATGGAGCATTCACAACTTCTGAAGGCAAGCTGTTTCACTGGTTGATTGTTCTCACTATCAGGAAATTTCTCCTTAGTTCTAGGTCAGGGGTATCAAACTCATGTGATGTATCGGGACTTTTTCCCCCTTTGCTAAACCGGGCCTGGGCATGGCCAGCACACGGCACATCTGGCCTGCAGGCTGCGAATTTGACGGGCCCTATTCTAGGTTGTTTCTCTCCTTGATTAGTTTCCATCCATTGTTTCTTGTCTTGCCTTCTGGTGCTTTTTGATAAATAGATTGAACCCCCTCTTCTTTGTGGCAGCCCCTCAAATATTGGAACGTTGCTATCATGTCATACTTAGTCCGTCTTTTCACTAACCTAGCTATGTCCAATTCCTGCAACGATTCTTTGTATGTTTTAGCCTCCAGGCCATCTTTGTTGCTCTTCTCTGCACTCTTTCCAGAGTCTGAACATCTTTTTTACATCTTGGTGACCAAACTGGATGCAGTATTCCAAGTGTGGCTTTAACAAGGCATTATAAAGTGGTACTAACACTTCAGGTGATCTCTATTAATGCAGCCTAGGATTACATTGGCTTTTTTGGTGGTTGCAGCAGGCTCATATGTAAATGATCGTCTTCTAGGAATTCAAGGTTCCTCTCCCAGTTACTATTATTAAACCAAGTTTTACCTAATCTGTACCTGTACATTTAGTTTTTCTTGCCTAAAGCTTGCTTTTCTCTACAATGAATTTCATTTTGTTAGATAGGGCACAAGTTCAAGTTTGTCTAGAAGTTTGAGAGTATTCAGTCAAATTAAAACCCTTTCATTGAGCCCTGTGAAGTCCAATTACCAATTACCAGTTAAATTCAATCTGGGAATCAAATCAATCTGGGAATCAAATCAATGCAGTTTTATCAATACCAGCACACAAATCTACAGGCTTTTTTAGTGTAGTAAAGGGGTCCAGCAAAAGTCACTTTTGAATTGTTCATGGATTTCAATTATTTCTCCTAATGTTTTTTCCACTCTCCCTCCCTATCTGCCCCAGTGTTTTTGCAATTGGTACCCTGTTATGCACTTGAAAAGTTGATTTATCTGTGGATTGTTGCATTTTGGGTAATCTAGCCATGATCTGTTAACATACTGCGTTAACAGGCTAATCCATAATATGATTCGTCTGATGTAACTTGGTTTAGGATTTAGCATTCATTAAATGAATGCAGCTTTGCCATCAGCTTTTGCAAAGAGTTACTGCTTACAAAGGTGGCTTCAGATTTCATCAGAATCAGTTTTGTAACACAGACTTAAACTGGATTGGAAGGCAAAAATCTAAGTCTTAATGTGCATTCTAGTTAAGGCATTGGTATGTATGTTACTTTTTCTAAGCTCAAAACCTAAGACAGAAATTAAGTGCATCTACTAAAATACAGTAAAAATTATCTTTAATTTTAATAAAATGTATTTTTAAAAAGTGAGTCGACATAATTAAAATTATCCGGCATAACCATTGTATTCATTTTACCTTCTAAAGACCATCTGAGATACATACATTTAGCAATCCTTTCAGAATATATAATAGTAAGAAGGTGTGCTTTCTGTAGATGTTTCACTTCATAGAATGACAGCTGCAGTAAAACAGTTTCCCCACTGATCTCCCTATCCTTGTTTTAAATTATAAGAGTCATAAACGCTGTGTTCCCAAACTGCATCACTCAACACTGCGCAATCCTTACATACTTGGTGTTTGAATAAGACCTACTGTTAAATAAACATCTCTTCTTTCTTTTCCCTACACACAGGATGTATAACTTTCTCCACCCTTACAAAAAACAGCCAAAGAAATGCCATGCGGATGCTGAAGATCATGCAGCAAAGAGCTGCTCTTACTAGTAACAGCCACGTGGCCTTCAATAACATTTAATTCTAGATTTTGCCACCTGACCTACCAGCACAAACCTGGCCTGTCTGTAATAAGCCTCTTAAAACGCCAACTCCCAGCACTAATATATTTTTAGAATACTGAAGTATATATATCCCCACAAGCTACATGAAATACTTATGAGCTGAATCCCTCACAGAGGAACTAGACAGCTGCTTGCATATGAACATTATGGAACACGTAGCACTGACTTTTCTGGAGAAGCTAGTTTGCCTTATTTCAGACTTGAAAACCAAAAGGACTCTAGAAAACCAAACTAATTCCCTCCCTCTCCAGTTGAGTTTATTCAAGCTCAGTGTCTAAGAAGCAACTCTCCTTCCATTGCATCCCACAGATTTGTTTCATCCCTATAGCCTTGAGCACTGTAATTGGGGTTCTCTAGTTGGAAAGTGCTGAAGGAGGATTTAATTCAACAAAACAGTGGGAACCCTGGTGATAGTGGAGGGGAAAGGGAGCTGATATCCCACACTTGTCCTGTGTACAGGATGAATCGGCTTGGGCACTTCTGATTTACCTGGGCTGCAGCATTTCCAAGCTCTTACTGAACTGGTTATGCAGGAAACAATTCAGTGCCTCCGTGCACTCGGCTAAGGCAGTCTCCAGGGAAGTGCTGTGGGTAAGAAAAGAGGGCCAGTTATCACAGGTGTTCTTCTAAGATTTGGAGTAACAACACACATTTTCTTGTAACTCCTGTCCATTGAATTATTAGTTTTTAGCAATCTGTAATGGGACTTTTCCTTAAATTGTACATGTGTTTTGGATGAGACAATATTAAGGCAAAGATCTTTTGTGGACTTCTAAGTTTTGGCTATTACTGAAAAATGGGCAGCCATCAAAAGAGGCATTGATTTACCTGTATGGGAGAAGCAGCTCTACGAGTTTTAAGAGCAAACAGCAGCATTTAATTCTAGTGATACTCCCTCCACCCCTGAAATAGTTCCCTACCATTAAAGTTGTTATATTTCAATAGAAACAAATACTATCATCATTTAATTAGCCTCACATGAGCTGTAGAAGGTGCCCAGATAGATAGGAAATCACTGACTGATAAAAATAAGTGTAAATGTGCCCTGTTTCTTTTCTAAAGCTATAAGAGAAACTTCCCACATCTGAGGGCTCCCTCCCTCCTGTAGGTATGAGGAAATGCCCTTCCTCCGGGGTTCTTGAAGGAAGTGGTTGTGTCCTTGTCACATTTGTTTAGCTCAGGTGTCCTCCCAAAGACAGAATTCTTACCGGTGACAACAGTAAGCAAACACGGCCTTTGCCACCATAGTTACCCCACCTTACTCAAACAGGACTGGCCTTTCAACGAACTCTCCAACTGGTAAACTAGGTTTTAGGCTGCCACCCCCAGGAAATTTTAGATAACTTTTCCTGTAAATGTAGAGATCCAGAGCTTTATATTGGTGCTGACTTGGTTTTTGTGTTAATTTATCTAGCTTAGTTTCCTCTGCATTAACCCATTGTTGTAGCTCTTCAAGATTCAAGACAAGGGTCTTCCCCAAATGTAGCTAAACATGTCAGGAATTCAATGTGCAATTCTTCTTAAAAAGAAGATACTAGAAATACAATCATGCACCATTTCAATTAAAAAAAAATGTGGGAGCACTTAGGAAACTATAGTAGGTTTATTTTAACTGAGCTCAGAATTATAAAAGGTCATGAGTAGGAAATAGGATATAGTTGTAATTATCAAGAAAGTGCAACAGCAAATAGCTAATATATGTAGAAAGTCTTTAGGGCGAACGGAATGTAAATTGGCAAAGGAAGTAAAAAGCAACAAGGCATATGTATGTAGACATGAGAACCAGTTGTTCTAGTGGTTAAAGCACCAGGTTAGAAACTAGGAGAGTATGACTTTTAATTCCACCATAGGCATGAAAGCCAATTGGAGGACTTCGGAGCAGTCACTCTCTCTCAGCCCACAACATCAGGCTTCAGTGCCAAGCAAGTCAGTCATTTCATATCTGTGATGAGCCAGGGTGGGATACAAAACAAACAGTCACAGAAAACAGGTGAAGCCCCTTTTATTCCTTCAGTTTGCTTCCAAGCTCCGAATATCTTTGATGGAAGACAAAAAAACACCCACACAGTTACACGAAGAAGGAAAAAAGCAACACAAACCAGGCAAGATAAGGACTGGAGGATGTCCACAGAACACACACTGGGAAGGACGCCAAACTCAGAGAGGAAATATTTATCTTTCTTGGTGACTTCAATCTACCTCATATTAACTGGACCCTAAACGAATGTACAACTGAACCCATACATGCAACCTTCTATAATGCTGTAACAAATTTGGGACTGGAACAACTAGTAACCAACAATACTAGGCTTAACAACTGCCTTGATCTCATCTTCTGCAATAGTTTGAATTCAATTTACGGAATACAAATTAAAGAACCCTTTTCGAACAGTGACCACAACATGATAGACTTTTGTCTCAACATACATCCACACAAAAATCATCACAATGACAAAATCCCCAATTATCACTTCAAAAAAGGCAACTATGATCTTATAATCAACGATCTCTCTTCCCTTGATTGGCAATTTCTATTCACTGGATGCAATACTGTTGAAGATCATTACAACATATTCTTACTAGAAATCAAAACAGCCATCAAACTATATGTACCAATAACAACTCCCAAAGCCAGGAAAAACAGATTACCCATAAGAATAAGGAAGCTTCAATCCAAAAAGAGATCACTTTGGCGAAAAAACAAATCTGGTCACGTTGCCAACTTCAAAAGCCAATACAAAAATCTATGCCACCAGATAAAAACTGAATGCACCAATTATCACATTAAACAAGAGGAAAACCTTCTACGCACAAATTCCACCCGTGCTTTCTACAATTTTGTAAACAACAAACTAAAAGACTCAAGGTCCATCCCACCCCTGAAAGGACCTAATGGCAAAAACTGCAACGACAACACCATCAAAGCCAACCTCTTTAACACATTCTTTGGCTCAGTATTTGTAAACAGCAATGGATCAAGCCCAGTACTTCCTAGTCAAACCACAGACAACTACAATGATCTAATACATATCAATTTTACAGAAGACATTGTTGAAAAAGCATTGTGCAATCTAAAACCATCTCTATCTATTGGACCGGATGGAATATGTGCCTACTTCTTTAAAAAGCTATCCACTGCCATAGCCGAACCTCTAAGCATAATCTTTGAAAAATCTTTCAGGACCAGCTCCTTGCCAAAACTATGGTCACAAGCCATGGTCATCCCCATCTTCAAAAAGGGAGACCCCAGCCTAGTTGAAAATTACAGACCAATCTCCTTATGCTGCATCACCTGTAAAGTCATGGAATCAATTATTAACCAATCCATTATCCTCCACTTAGAGACAAACAACCTACTCTCTAATAAACAATTTAGTTTCAGAAAAAAACTATCCTGTAATCTGCAACTCTTACACTGCAAAAACATATGGACTACACAACTCGATCAGGGCAAAGCAATAGACGCAATCTTCTGTAAAGCCTTTGATTCAGTGGTACACGAAAAACTACTACTAAAACTAAAATCTTATGGTATCTCTGGACACCTACATAACTGGATAGAAGCATTCCTGTCAAACAGACAACAAATGGTCAAAATTGGGAGCATCCTATCAAATTCTGTACCTGTCAACAGTGGTGTCCCCCAAGGCAGTGTTTTAGGACCAACTCTCTTCATACTCTACATAAATGACCTCTGTGATCATATTAAGAGCAACTGTGTTCTCTTCGCTGATGATGTAAAGCTGTTCAACAACACAGACAATACTACTACCCTTCAAAAAGACCTTGACTATGTATCAGAATGGTCAATCAAATGGCAACTTCAAATCTCAACAAATAAATGCTCTGTCTTACATATTGGCAGAAAATCAGAAAATAAAATACAAGCTAAATAGTCAAGACCTTGTTGAGGATCCAAACTTTGTCAAGGACCTTGGAGTATTCATCTCAAATGATCTAAGTGCTAGAGCCCACTGTAACTACATAGCCAAAAAGGCATTAAGAGTTGTTAATCTAATCCTACGTAGCTTCTTCTCTGGTAATATCACACTACTAAATAGAGCATACAAAACATTTGCTAGACCTACACTTGAATACAGCTCATCAGTCTGGAACCCATATCATGTATCTGATATTAACACAATTTAAAAAGTCCAGAAATATTTCACAAGAAGAGTTCTCCGCTCCTCTACTCATTGCAGAATACTTTATGCCACCAGACTTGAAACTCTAGACCTAGAAAACCTAGAACTACGCCACCTCCAGTCCGATCTAAATATAGTATATAAAATCATACATTGCAATGTCCTACCTGCAAATGAATACTTCAGCTTCAATCATAACAATACAAGAGCACACAATAGATACAAACTCAAGGTTAATCGCACCAAACTTGATTGCAGGAAATATGACTTCAGCAACAGAGTGGTCAATGTTTGGAATACTCTACCTGACTCTGTGGTTTCTTCCCCAAACCCCAAAAATTTTAACCTTAGACTGTCTACTATTGACCTCACCCCCTTCCTAAGAGGCCTGTAGAGGGCATGCATAAGCGCACCAATCGTGCCTACCGTCCCCTGTCCTATTGTTTTTTTTTATTTTTCTTATAAGTATCTATCTCATGTATTCAAAACTATATTTATTCTTATACCTGTATCTTGTAAGCGATTGACAAATCAAATAAATACTAAAAAATACTAAACTAAAGATATTTACACAATTTGTTTCCAGCGTTTTGCCAGGTCCAAAATCTTATTCAGTTGTCACACCTGCAGCCCATGAAGAGGGTCAAGGCCCTCTCCTCCTGAGGAGACCATGTCTCTCCCTTATCCTCTCCTCCCTGCGTGCCCTAGGATGGATAGGGGATGGGCCTGGATCCTCCTCTGACTCCTCAGCCGGCCTCTGCCCTTCCCCAGCCTCCTCCACAACCTCCAGAGCCACACTTCCACTCCCTGTCGGCGGTTCCTCCTCTCCCTCAGAGTCAGTCTCCATCAGGGGCATGACAATATCACAACCAAAGGATCAACAGTTGGTTGCTCTGGAAAAAAGTGGCATTTGCAGGAAAATACTGCATTTGCATTCCCTTCATGTTGTATCCCGTGTATGTGTGCCCTGGGGGTGGGGGGGGCATAAATTAGGTTACATATGTTCTGTCATGAGGCCATGGAACTATGAGGAAAAGTGGCTTAGAATGGAGGAGTTACCAGGACTGTGACGTAGCTCTCTGTGGCCTTTCCCACAAAGATGCATTGGGAGATGTTTTCCTGGCATCTTTTTCCCAGCAGCCCCAACTGAATCTAGCCTATTTTTGAACCTGATCTTTCTTTTTCCAGTTTCTCTCCCATACCATATTTGGTTCTACTCTGTTCCAGTTTTGTAGAATTCTTCTGCTGACAGAGAGACGTAGCCTCCGCCCCCTCCCCAGTCCTTTGCATAATTTCTTCCAACATTCTACTGGGTTGAAGGGAATAAAAAGGTGTTTTTAACTCTGCTGAAAGTAAAAAAGAAAGAAAAAAAAGAAAGGGTTTACACAGTATCATCTTTGCTTTGTTCTTCTCCCCAAAAAAGAATGATGTCCAAAAGAA